AAAAAAAAAAAAAAAAAGGCCTATTTTCCCATTGGCCTTCTTGTCCACAAGGACACACTGCTGGCTCATGGCCAACCTGCTGTCCACCAGGACACCAAGGTCCTTCTCTGCAGAGCTCCTTTCCATCAGGTCAGACCCTAACCTGTACTGATGCATGCATTTATTCTTCCCCAGGTGCAGAGCTCAGCACTTGCTCTTGTTAAAACCCATCAGGTTCCTCCCTACCCAACTCTACAGCCTGTCCAGGATTTGCTGAATGGTAGCACAGCCTTCTGGTGTGTCAGCCATTCCTCCCAGCTTTGTATCATCAGCAGACTTACTAAAGGTGGACTCTGTCCCTTCATCCAGGTCACTGGTGAAGATGTTGAATGAGGCCGGACCAAGGACTGACCCTAGGGAACACTACTAATTACAGGTCTCCAACCAGACTCTGCATTGCTGATGACAACCCTTTGAGTTCTGCCAGTCAGCCAGTTTTCAATCCACCTTACTCATCTGTCCCACACTTCTTCAGTTTCATAACAAGGATGTTGTGGGAGAAGGTGTCAAATGCCTTGCTAAAGTCAAGGTACACAACATCCACTGCTCTCCCCACCAGTGATGACATCATAGTGATGATCTACCCAGCCAGTGATGACATCATAGAAGGCTATCATATTGGTCAAGCATGATTTCCCCTTGGTGAATCCATGTTGTCTATCCTTGATAATCATCGTTTCTTCCAGTTGGAGAATTGGAAGATGGCATCCAGAACAAGTTGTTCAATCACCTTTCCAGGTATGAAATTGAGGCTGACTGGCCTGTAGTTTCCCAGATCCTCCTTCTTGCCCTTTTTGAAGACTGGAGTGACATTGGCTGTCCTTCAGTCTTCAGGCACCTCCATTTGCCAGGACCTTTCAAAAGTGATAGAGTGGTTCAGAAATCACCTCTGCCAGTTCTCTCAGCATAGGTGCCTCTCATTGGAGCCCATGCATTTGTATGCACTGATTTTTGGCTAGACACTCTCTAACTAGATCCACCTCAACCAATAGAAAATCTTCCTTTACCCAGACTCACTCTCAACACTTCATGGTCTGAGATTCCTGAGGGCTAGTCTTAGCATTAAAGACTGAAGCAAAGAAGTATTCAGGATCTCTGTATCAGCATCCCTTGTTACCAAGGCATCCACTTCATTTAGTAGGGGGACCCATATTTTCCCTAGTATTTCTTTTACTGTTGACACACTTAAAGAAACCCTTCTTGTTATCCTTCACCTCCTTTGCAAGGTTTAATTCCAAGAGGGCTGTAGCCTTCTTCATTGCATCCCTACAGGCTCTGACAACATTCCCATTTTATTCCCAGGTAGATAGGCCCTTTTTCCACATTTCATGGAGCTTCTTTCCTCTTAGTTTATCCATGAGTTCCTTGCTCATCCACGCAGGCCTCTTGCCAACTTCCCTCAATTTCTTACTCTTAAGGATGTGGTGATCTTGAGCTTGGATGAAGTGGCATTTAAGCGCCAACCAGCTCTCACAGGCCTCCTCACTTTCTACCACTCTAGCCCATGGCTAGTAAGTCTTTGAAGAAGTCAAAGATGGCTTTCCTGAAGTCCAGGGTAGCAATTCTACTTACTGCATTGCTTCTTCCATACAAGATTTTGAATGCCATCTTGTGATCGCTGCATCCTGCAACCATCTCGTCCCTGAACAACTAAGCCCTTCCTTGTTAGTAAAAACAAGGTTAGGTAGCACATCCATCCTCGTTGGCTCTTCCACCACCTGCGTCAAAAAGTTATCATTCATACACTGCAGGAACTGCCTGGACCTTGTATACCTGGCTGTGTTACTTATCCAACAAATATCAGGATGGTTGAAGACCCCCATGAGAACGAGTGCAGGGGAACATGAGGATACTTCCAGATGTTTGTAGAAGAGCTCATCCACTTCCTCATCCTGATCAAGTGGCCTGTAGTACACACCAACAGTGTCACCTATGTTAACCCACTCCTTACTTCTTACCCACTGCCTAACAAATTCTTACCCTCTGCCTAATGAAGAACAGCAAGCCAAAGAAAAAAAAAGCAGCCCATGTGGGCTGAAATGCATGAAAACTCTCAGTGAACCCAGCACCAGACTGACTCACCCTGAGAGGGTGTGAGGATAGAGCTGCAGAGGGAACATAAATCTTTTGGGTAAGGAGGAGCACCTGAAAGTAGAGTTTTTATTAAAGTACAGCATGCTTCCACTCTATTTTCATTGGGTACTCTGGGTCTCTACAGGCCCTGATAACCCCTGGGCAGAGGCAAACGCAGTGGCTTTTCTTGCACTGTGTTGCAATTACTAATTTTTATAAGCTTCCTTGTAGGCTAAGTAATGTCCAGTGGCTGTTAGATGTGTCATAGTAGGGTGTAAAACTCCAACAAGTACTTCCTGACTGCTGACCTTTTTGCTTTTTGCCCCTCACTGTCACCTCCCTGCCTGACAGCACTCGGTACAGCAGGTAGGACAGCCTGGTGGAGCCCTATGTAGAGTACTACTCCTGACACTGATTGATGAATTCTATTTAACTGCATCCTAGAGCAGCCCAGAGAGGTGGCAAAAGCAATAACAGAAATGGAAATGAGGTTCTGTAGACCAAGCAAAGTCCTGAGGGAGGCAAGGAAGGTAGTTTTTGAGCCCATGTGGTTACTGTTTCTGATCTTTCTTGCTGTGGCAAAGTATGGTGATATGCAATTCAGGCTTGCTGGTTGTGGTTTAGCAGAAAAAAAAAGGGGGAGATACATTTGTGGAGAATGAAAGTGAAATAAATCCTTTCAAAGAACAATTTTCAAAAGTACTTCATTGGTAACCCATCCATCAGTACCAATGAACTAATGATGTAGTATCAGGAATTGTCATCCTCTGAAAAATGACTCTTCTGATCAAGTGTGACGTCAGCACAGAAGGTGATCTTTTCTGTGAAGGAAGTTCTGGTCCCCTGACCTTCCTTCTGGCTGTGTTACAGAGATGTTTCTAATACATACCAACTCACTCATACAAGGGGTTGGCACAAGCCTCCTCTGTGTCCTGCTGGGCTGTCACCCATGATCACATTGCCCATCTCTTCATGCAGCCTGCTCTTTCTCCGTAGATCATATAAGCCTAGAAAACCCCCCAAAACAAGCACAGTAGGCAAGAGAAAAGCCATGAGCAGCCCAACTGTGAGGAGAACAGGGCCAGTAGGAAGGGCAGGTCACTGTCCTCCCCAGAGCACTTGGAACTCCCATGTCCTGGTCCCAGGTCTCATAGCCACCCCTCTCAAGGATTTTTCTACATACTCAGAAGGAAATGCCTAGTGGTTGTAGTCTAAATCTCATAGGATGGTGCTTCTGGGCAACAAAATTCATTTTTGCTCATGCTGTGAGAGATTTATACCAGCCTCAAATTTTCTGTCAACTATATACCCTGGCTGCTGCAGAGTAGGTTGAGGGCAGAGAAGTGAGCCAAGATAGCTTCCTTTCTCTGACAATGACTTACTTGGGTGGGAGATCTATTTTTTTCCATTGAGAAGTCTGAGAGCTTTTTCAGGCAAAACATTTCTGGGAAAAAAAAAACAAAAAAAGTTTGGTTTCAGAGGTTCTAATGAAAAAGACAGGCAAACTCCAAACCATGCATTTTCTTTGAATTAAATTTTGTTAGTGAAAACCTAAAACTGATAAGCCAGCACTGATGCTGACATGGAAAAGTTTCTTCTTTTCTTTCTGGCCATG